TTTTTTTTTTTTTTTTTTTTTGTACCGGGGATTGAACTCGGGTCCTTGCGCTTGCAAGGCAGGCCACCAAACTACTGAGCTAAATCCCCAGCCCCTCTCTTTGCTGTTTCAACTTACCCTGTTGCTTTTTCACCATACAACTTCAGGCTTGTTTTTCACAGGGGTCATGCCATGAACTGAACTTAGTCCTTAATGTGATGGAATTTGGAGGTTGGGCCTCCCGGAGATGGGGTGATGAGGGTGGGATCTCCTTGATTAGTACCCTTAGAAGATATACCCTGTCATGATGCTCCCTTTTCTCTTTTTTCTCCTCTTTCCTTTTCCTCCTGCCCTACTCTTCCCCTTCCTCTATTCTACTCACTCCCCTCTCTCCTCCCACCTCACTCAGCCACATGAGTGTCAGGGAGCAAAACTTCCCCAGGACTTGACCTGGCACCCTGACCTTGGAGTTTCAGCCTCCAGAACTGTAAGAAATTTCTGTTAAGAAAACAATGAACTAAAACCATGTGCACACAGGTATATGTAATTTCAAACAACCAAAAGAGGAAATCTACTCACACCTATCTAGTAACTTATAGAGGACACAGACAAATTCAATAAGACAATATAAGAATCATGCATCTTAAAATACTTAAAATAAATCAGACACAACTTTACACCCGAAGAGAGAGGAGTGCATGCTTTTTTTACAAGTATGCCTCAAACATTTTCCTGCTGGCCATCCTTCAGTCCATGAATTAAATCCCAAGAACTTCAAGTATTTGTTTTTGAAGCAAAACATTTATTGGTACATTTTTAGATAAACATAATGATAACACTCATCATAGGGAATTTGTACTTGTACATGGTATATCTTGCTTCTTCTTTTCCCGTTTCCCTTCCTTACTTAAAAGTGCTTTGTTTTCACTTTTTTCTTCTGTTTTCTTTTTTCTTGTCACTTCTTTCTTTGGGATGGGATATTCCTTTTGACCATGTAATCATTTTACTTTGTATTATTCCTCTTGTCACATTATTTTTGTCTTAAAGTATTTTACATGATTCCCTATATTAGCTGAATAATCACTCCTCTTCAAATGTAATAATTATCATCAAATACACTGTTAACAACATAATTTTAAGCACCTTTTTATAAGTATTTTTATTTTATGTACTTTTTAAACTTTTGGAAATTTTTTTATCTTGTCTATGAATAAAGGTTTATGTTTATCTTGCTAAAAAAAAAAAAAGAAATTTCTGTTAAGCCATCAAGGCAATGGTCTTCTGTTGTGGCAGCCCAAGTGGACTAAGGTCATATTTTCTCATACTCAACTAGAGATCATTTTCAGAGACGTGGTCTTCCTTAGAGTCTCCTAAATTCTGTTTCTTGTTATGTAGAATTTTCATACTTTCTATGCTTGTTTATTTTTTATATTTTCTTCAGCCAGGCATACAAATCAGGTTAGCAAAACTGAACAATCCAGCTTTACTCTTCCTATACAAAACAAAAGAACTGCTGTTCATCCTCTCTCAGCCCATTACCATGATGGTAATTCTCAGATCAGTGGCTGAAGGTCGAAAGACACCCAAACAACACAGTCCATCTAGTGAGTATCCTCCGTTTCCCTGTGGCTCTGGCTATCTCCTCCTCAATTCTCTAATTTGCTTGGCTGATGCCAAAGTGGAAGAGATTTCCCCTTTCCCCTGACCTACAGTTTTACTTAGGGTGATGAGTTCCTTCAGAATGCCTGGTGTCTCCACTGGCTCCCCTTGTCCTGTGCCTAGCTGTTTTTAAGGTGTGGTGGCACTGGCACAAAACAGGCAGCAACCCAAGAAGCAACAGTCTCATCTCCCAAGCCAAATCCTGAGTGGCAGCTAGGGGTGGCCTTCCAAGGCTACAGCAAGCTCAGCTCCATGGCCTCAAGCTGGGAATAGTCTGGCTTTCCTCAGTACAAATGCACAATCCTTATCATCTGTGAAAACACCTCCAGGTCCTAGCATGGGTTGGCTATTAGACTGAGTTACAGATACACAGAACAAGTTGTGTCTTGCTCTGAATCTTCATGGGTGGTTAACAGGTCTCACTTATTTAATGCTTTCCAAGCATGTGTCAAGGACTATGCTAATTCCCTTACAAATATAATCATACATAATCCCCATGACAAGCTTGAAAGTGGAGTCTTATTGTCATCACCCCACTTTAGAGTTAAACTGGATTAGACAGATTAGAAAATGTGGGGCTTCATGCAGCTCTTAAGTGGGGAGTAGGACTCATGCCTGGGCTGGCTTCCGAATTCCTGCCCCTGAGCCCCCAACTCTCCTCCCTTCCTCCGTAACATCTCGTTTCTTACACCCTGACTACCAGTAAGGGCCACATGCTAAGCTAGACACTTCATTTTCTTTTGGTTGGTGTTGTTTTGCTTGAGTGGCACTGGTGATGGAAAGCGGGGCCTCACACACGGCAGTCAAACATTTGACCACTGAGCTACATCCCTAGCCCAGGGCTAGACACTTTGGGAGTCCATTCTCCAACAGCCCTGGAGAACAGTGAAGGGACATGCAGAAGGAGCAAACATGCAGTAAACTAGTGATGCCAATATTCACACGCAGGCCAGTTTGATTCCTAAGCCTAGCTTCGTAACAGCAGTGCCACAATCAGAAATGCGGGGCTTCTTGGAGATGGTGGACAAAAGGGGAACGGAGAGATTGTGGATCCCTCTGGCTCTGTCTTATATCTGAATGTGAATGTCCGGCTCTTCCACCAGACCATAAATTCCTCAAATGCTGTGAATGTATCTGATTCACAGTTGTTTCCCCCTGCTAACTCCCAGCAGCTTGGATGCTGATTTCACCGTCATCTTCATCTGTAAGATAATTTTCATGCTCCTATTTAGGGAGTGTTCACTATGCATGGGATAGGCACTATGCTATCCACTCTGCAGACATTGTCTCCTCCACAGTTTTCTGAAGGCTCTAACAAGGATTAACAAGAAAGCCAAGATCCGTCCTCTGACCACGACAAGGTAGAAGGAAAAGGCTACCTCAGTGGATCCATCTAGCACCTTCCAAGGCCCCTCTTCAGGACACAGTGGACTGTAGTGTTACAGTGCTTTTGATTTTCCTTCTCCCAAATTTCTTCATCCCCTTGTTCTATATTTTTGTGTATATTTTCGTAAACAGTCTTAGGTTTTTGTTGTGATGCGACACACACAATAAAGGTCTCCTCAGCTGGCAGTAAGAGATAAATGAGCTGTAACTTTCAAGTCTCCCACACTTCTAGTCCCATCACACCTGCCCCAGGCCACCTAACCCCTCCCAATTCAGTCTCCTCCCAGGAGCCACACTGGATGTTATGGCATCCATTGAAAATGTCCCTAAAAGTTTCATATATTTAGAGATGGGGCTTTTGGAAGGTCATCAGATCATGGAGGCTCTATACTCCTTAATGGATTAATCCATTGATGAATTCATGGTTGAATGTGTTGGTAGGAGGTGGGGCCTGGTTGAGGGTGGGTCACTAGAGTTGTGACCTGGAAGGGCATTTTCTTCTCCCTGGCTCTTCCCTTCTCTCTCTGGCTTTTTGGCTGCCAAGGGTTAAGAATCTTTCTTTCGTTGTGCCATTAGTATCCTTGTAGCCAGCCAACCATGGACTAAATTCTCTCAAAACCATGAGACACAATAAATCCTTCCTTGAATAAATTGCAGGTGCCAGGTATTTTGTCCCAGAAATTGGAAAGTGGTTAATACAATGGTTGCCTAAAATGCAAACCCTATCAAGTCCTTTCCCCATCTGGTAAACTCTGATTCATTCCCATGAAGACAAAGTCCAGATGCTGCATCTTGGCATTCAGAGCTCTAAGACCTAAGCCTGCCCCAGATTCTCCTTCCCCTTCTCAAAACAAGTGCTTTCTCCAGCCTGTGTGTGTGTGGTGCAAGGGCTACCCTCGTCTTCACTCTGGAAGCTTCCTGGATGCCCAAGACTGGACTCCCCTGCACCTCTCTGGATTTTAACTACCAGCTCACTTACCTACTGTCCCCTACCCAGACCCTCTGTAAATTATTCAAGGTCAAGGGGCACATCTGTCTCATTCACTGCTGTGTTCCAGCAACACTCAGAATAAGTTTGTTGGAAACAAGTAAGTCACACGTACGGCTCCTGCCTTCAAGGAGATTTACTAAAGCAAGGACACTGGCACCTATATGCAAGGGCTCAGCATAGCTTTGTTCCCTGCTAAGCCCCCTGGATGACTTCCCAAGCACCCCCCATGTATCAGGCAATGTGCTAACAAGCATCACCATCACAATCCCATTTAATCTCTGAACAAACCTGCAGGGAGAGTCCTCACCCAATGGTGGAAAGGCTGAGGTTCAGGATGGCTAACAGACTTTAAGGGCACCATGCAGTACAGCAAGTTCACCACCTGCACTGCCCTGACTTTGACCCTATACTGTCTGCAAATCCTTGAACCAATATCCTGATACTACCTAGCCCAACTAACATGCGGGCATCACTGCTGCACGTGGGAGCTGCCACCCTCTCTGCCAGCACTGGGACTGAGCCCTGCCTCCTCGGCTGGTTCCCACCCAGCCCTCTGCTCAGGGAGCATTACATACTTGGACCGATTTTCTGGAATGGTTCCGGGGGCTCCTCCTTCACCTCATCAGTGGCTACAACACCTTGGTCAAAGGGGTCTGGAGGAGAAAACACAGCCATTAGCACCCTGGTCACTGGGGTCTCAGGAGCCCAGCTGGGGACAGGGAAGATGGGTTGCCACCAAAGACTTACCGGCCCGATTCTCAGGGGCCCCTTCCACACTAAACACTGCGCCCAGGCAGGAAGCAGCAACCGCAGAGAGAAAAAAGCAAACAGGAGCCCTGTTAGTCCCCGCCCATCACTGCCTCTACCCGGTTTCTTCCAGACTCTGTGCCAGCAAGTTTGTCTCTGGAGCTGGGAGGGCTTCCTTGGCCAGTGTGGAATGTGGAAAGGACACATTTCCACCAGGACACAGCCTGTGCCCCATGGGCAGGTGCCAACCCCAGGGGCAGACAGATAACCTCTTCCTGCAGCTGTTCGTGGATTCCCAGCATGCACTCCAGGGGCAGAGCAGGAGAAAGGGGAAGAGGTTGGGAGGCGAAGGCAGGGAGAGGAAGGATAAGTCAGCCTCTGTGGTGGTGGGCTCAGATGCCACTGCCTGAGATAGGCTGGGTGTGGAGCTACAGAGGATACCCCGCAAAGGTCCTCTCTGGGTCCAAGTCCCTCTTTCTAGGATTCTTAGGACTCCACAAATGAATTACCTAAATTTATTGTTCTAATTTCTAGCTCTATAATCCAATGATCAAATGCTATCATTCATTTTTTAAAATTGGTTTAATTTCATGAGAGCATGCAAATACCCAATATAAAATTATAAAATGACATGATATGAAATTCAATATTCAACTGATTTTGATCTATAAAAATGGCAATTTCACTTGGGGTAAACTAAATAGAAGCACACATGGATAATGATGAGAGTATTCTCTCCCAGAATCCTCCAGGTCAGTCACTCCCCTCGCGGGCTGGCTGCTGTCTGACCTTTCTCCGGCTAAGAGGAGAGCAGGTTGGAGTCAGGTCTCCAAGGAAGGGCACCTCTCAGTAGGATGCAAGGAGCTCGGGGCCCGACTCACCATCCACAGCATGCAGGTCCCGGTGCTCTTGGAAACAGCTGTAGTACTTGTACTTCTTCCCACAGATGTCACATGTATACCTGAAGTTGTCTGCGAGGGAGGCAAAGCCACATGTGCCTACCAAGGCTTCGGTCACCAGGGGTGGGGGTTTCTGGCCAGTGCATCTGCATCGGGGACCAAAGCCGGGACCAGCCCAGTCTGGCCACAGCTGGAAGGCCCCATGGAGAATATGTTCCTAAGCCACCCGGGCATGGACGGTACCCCATCTTCTGAGCCAAAGAGGCTGCAGCCAGCTTGTCCCCGGCAGCTCCTTGCCCATGTGCGGTCTCAGTGCTACTCCCTCCCTCCACTCCAGGCTGGGTTCCAGCTGCTTCACAGGGCTGGGGCTGATGTGTTAGGAGTCCTCTGCAGTTGTTCCGACAGGACCAGATGACAGGGAGCCTCTAGATGACTCCCAAACCCTCCAACCTGCCCTGTATGAGCTGGGTTCCTAAGGGCCTGGCTCATAACAGGTCTCCCCTCCCATCACAGAGGTAGTGAGAATAACATTAATTGCATGCAGTTATCGCATGTACAGCACCAGGCCAGGCCCACCCCTGCCTTTCCTCAGTCCTTGCAACAGGGAGGAAGCAGGGTCCCATTTGCACACGAGGAAATTGAGGACCAGAAGAGACCTGCCCCAATTCCCACAGCTAGGAGGGTGGGCAGCTTTAACAATGAGGCCTAGTGGTCTTTGTTTGCAGGAGACTCCTTTCCTGTGAGTCTGGGCTGGACCTCTTGACTAGCTGCTAATGAGCAGAATACGCTGAACCTGAACCGTTGACAGCTTTCTGCCACCGAGAAGCGCCCAACCTGCTCTGCTGAATCTCCTACTGTGACATTTTCTCAATATGGATGGGGACCAGGATCCCAACTCCTAATGGAGGTGCGGATGAGGGCAAAAGAGTCAGTACCAAAGGAGGAGTCAAAAAGGAGTTTTCATCAGTGAAACTACACAAGGAGCCCATGTCTCAGGAAAGCCTCTGCAAACCCTTTCTAGAAAATGAGTTCTGGCATGAGGCTGCCCAAGTTCAAACCCTGCTGTACTGTTTAGAAGTGTCATGGACCTTGGGCATGTCCCTAGGCCCCTGTGCCTCCATTTTCTCATCTGTAAAATGGGAACAAGTTCCTCATTTCCCAGTGTTATAATAAATAATAAATGAACTTTACAAATAATAGTAAACTAATAAAAGCTGTAATAAGGAATAAATAAACAAAGGGCTGGGATTGGCTCAGTGGCAGAGCACTGCATATCTTGTGTAAGGCCCTGGGTTCAATCCCCAGCATGGAGGGACAGGGTGCTGAGAAAGAGACAGAGAGAGAGAGAGAGAGAGAGAGAGACAGAGACTAAAAGCACAATGCTGACAGCTGGTGGATACTTGGTAAATGTCTTACAAAGGGAACCAATGTAACAGCAACGAGCTACACATGGGCCTAATCCTTTATCCTCTCAGCTCACAGATGGTTGAGTGGATGAATCCTTACATTTCTACCCATAACTGGATTATTTTCCTAGTAAATTAAAGGTCCCTGAGAACTATCACCCCCACAGCTAGTAAGTAGCATGATTCTGCTCTCTGGGACTCAGTGTCCTCACTGCAAAGTGGGCAGGCTGGACACAACGTTCCCCACAGGACCCTTTCGGCTTCAAGACTGCACTGCCAGGCCCCCTTCAGAGGCGGGCGTGAAGTCTGCCAGGTGCTCCGAGCAGCACCAGTGGCCCGGGGCCGGGGTGGGGGTGCAAGACTGAGAAGGCAGCAGAGCACACTGGCAGTGGGAAAGAAGCACAACAGAGGAAGGAGAAAGTGAGAGAAGGGCTAAAAATACTACAGGCCACCCTGAGCCCTAACTACTAGCGAGCTCACACACAACGGAAGCCAGACAGAACACAGCGGCTCACTGAGGAGTTAGTTCCTGGGAAGGCCAGGGGCCAAGAATAGCCAGGGGAGGAAAGATAAATGTGGAAGTCTTTAAATGTGTATCTGGACACTGGCAGCCCATAGAAGCTAAGAAAGAAGGGAGTCAGGGCCACACCAGGGTGGGGTGGAGCTGGGAGGGACAGCCTGTTCCCAGTCAGGGGCCCATGGCAGGTGTCTGCCACCCTCACACACAGGACTTGGCTCTGCCTGCCTCTCGTGTGGCAGAGTGAAGGGACTGCATTCAGAAGAAATGCTAGCAGGACCCAGCCCAGGGAGGTCAGCTATCTCAGACCCCGCTGTCCTAGGTTCGTTTTCTTTTCAGTAATATTTACTTATCACCATAAAATATGTTTATGGTGGTATATCAGTCCTAAGGAAGAGGGCTGGGCACGTAATGATCCCTTGGCCAAATCCAGCGGAATACTGTCCATGGCAGAGCCCCTGATATACGGGCAGGGCTGAGTGTTTAGGACGGAGATGTCAGGCCGCTGAGGTCTAAGCTACTCCACACCTGGCCCTCTACAGAAAACATCTTCTGATCCCTGACACTGGACAGTGTGCGGGATGTAAGTCAACACCTCAGTCAGGGTTCGCGAAAGGAAAACCCTTGGGAGCCGGCCTGGTACATGCGACAGCAGCACAGGCCCCTCCTGCAGCAACCCTTCCTCTATGCCTACCATGCCCCCTTCACAAGGGTCTGCACTTTCTGAGGGCTTTAGAGGACCACTGTCTGATGTCTGGCTTCTCCGGCTCCATGGTACATGTATGAGAATGATCTGTGATGAGGAGCTCACGCTCACTGAAGGACAGCAGCACCCCCACGTCAATAATGTGGGCAGCTGGATGGCTTCCGGTTTGGAGCATCCAGAACTGGTGCACTCAGAGGGCATTCCGGTTCCTGTCTTATGGCGGACATGTGCATCTGTTTCTGCTGGGTATTCACCTAGGGGCAGAACTGCTGGCTTTGGAAGCTCAGTGTTGGGTGGCTGAGGTTCCACTGTAGTCCATACTCACCTGGCAATCAGGCCCCTGAGATAGACACAGGGCTGGCAGAACATGTGAGCAGTTATACCTAGATGCGAAGGCCCCATATGGCACCCTAGGACACAGCACCAATAAGCAATGGTGTCGCTGCACGTGCTCGTGAGGTAACTCTCTGAAGCAGCATTTCCCCAGCCGGTGACCCAGCCCTAGCCCTGTGAGTCAGTTTCCAAAGAACACAGGAGGATCTACACAGGGTAAGCTCCTGGAGACCCTTGGGCATGTGTACCAATGAGGACAGGGACACCTGCGCCTTCAAATACAATTCAGGGTTTCTTGAAATTATTTGTCCAAACAACTTTGGTTAAGAGAACACCTATCAACCTCCCCAGAATGAGCATGCCATGCAACCCGTTTTGGGAAAGGCTACTCTGAGCTACTGTGTTCTGATTTTCTGAAGACCCTCTGGCCCCCAGGCCTGGACCCCAGCAACGTGGCTCCCAGAGGCCACTTGGGGCTGTCTTGGGGAGGCAGGTCCTCTTCCCTCTGCACTCAGCTCTTGGCCCCCACCCGCCCATGAAGGGGGAGAAATACTCACTGCTTTGGGAGGCTCCCTCCCCTGAGGTGGCTTCGGTGTCTGCGAGAGAAAGAGAGGGGAGGAGGTGAGCCAAGTGATGAGGACAAGAGCAGGGCTGGTGCCGAGTGAGAGAGTAGCAGAAGCCACAGGGGACAACGCCTCAGCCCTTCCCTGGCCTCGACATCAGCTTGTGCCGTGTCCCCTTTACTTCAGAACGGGGAGCAGCGGCTGCCCCACTTGAGTGGTCGAGAGGAACACACAAGGTAGCACGAACTCATGGCTGGTATGGCAGCACTGGGCATCCTGGGGCTCTCAAGGCAGAAGCCGGTGTCCTGTGCTGCAGGCCCTGCTCCTGCCCCACACAAGGAGACCTCTCCTGTATGCAGGAGGTTGGAGAAGACAGGCGCTTTCAAGGGCTCTGGGGACACTGGTGAGGGGCTTGAGCAAGAAAACAGGCAGAGAGTGGGAGGTGCAGCCTCAGGAACACCCCGCTCACCTCGGTGTGCCCGTACATGGGTCTGGAAACAGTTGTAATACTTGTACTTCTTTCCGCAGATGCCACATTCATAGGAGCCTGGAAAAGAGAAGAGGAGCGGAGCAGTCAGCAGGCCCACATCTGTACGCACAGAGCTCCGGGACCCACAAGTGACGGCTCCAGGTACTGCTAACTCTGTCACGAGGCAGAGACATCCCCGGCAATCATAGGCAGCTTGGCCCAGCCGGGCTAGAGGTCACAGGGCCTATGGTCTACATCCAGGTTTGCCTCCAACGTCTGCACGATTCTGGGCAAGGTGCCCCCCATTTCTGAGCCTCAGCCTCCATATCTGTAAGACGGAGATGGTAACTTCATCAGCCAACTCTCACACCCACACCCCAAGAGGAAAGAGAAGATGAACACAAAAGTGGTGGGAAAGGAGCAACCGCACCCACAGGAAGAACTCACTCCTTCACTGTTACAGGAATTCCCAGCTACCCTTTTCCAGAACAGGACCAATTCAGAACAGACCCCAGATCAGATGTACTTTGGTCCTCATCCCTATTTTTCTACTTGCCTGCACTGTGGTCTTGGTAGTTCCCTCAGACACACGAAACTTCAGCCGACTCATCTATAAAATGAGCCCAAAGTACCCACCTCCAGGGGTGGCCCTTCCCTGCCCTTAGGAAGTGCCCAGCATAGTCGATTTACTTGACGAGAAGACTCAGTCTCCCCTCCCTCAGACAGACAGACAGACACCAACATCGGAAACACTGACCCCAGCCCTGCTGGCCTCCTCCCAGGAGTAGGCAGACTGAAACGGCTGACCTCCCAGAGGTCTGAAAAGAGCCACTATGCAGTGAGACAAAGGCCCATGGCAGGAGGCCAGCAGAGCTCCTGGCACCCAGCCTGGCAAGGACCCCAGGAGCTGAGGCTCTGCCCATCGCCACCCATTAGGAAGCTCAGGTGGGCCTGATACCCTCTGGGCCCCATCCCAGCTCTTCCACACAGCGTCCAGGGAGTGTGCACAAACGCAGAGGCCCTGGCCCGGGACCAGGCTGGATGCTCCAGAGTGGCTGGGGACAGGGCCTAGGAATCTACCTTTTCCAAAAAGCCCCAGAGGATTCTGGTATCCAGGAACTGCTGGTTTAGAGTAATGCTTGGGCTGGTGTTCGGTTCTACCATTTACTGGCTGTGCTTCCGTTTCCTCAGAGGAAAACTGAATATGCAAGAGGGCTGATGCGCAGACTGAATGGGGGCGAACAGCGTTCCCAGCAAGGCCTGGATATGCAGGGAGTGGCAGCGATGGCTAAGTGGGATTCCCTTTGGCTGTGCCTTTCACTGGGGGGTAGACCCAAGGAACTGGAAGAGCACTGGGGGTGGAGACTGAATGTAAGTGCGGCTCTGCGACCCCTTACTGTCTGACCTCAGCTACGTTCCCTTACCTGTCAGAGCTGTTTTCTCTCCTGCCAACAAATCTATGATTCCTGCCCCTCATGAGTAAGGTCACCACCAAAAAGAGGCAACATGTGGGTCAGCTGGCACACAGGAGGCACTGAGGGAGGGTGGCCTGCACCAGTGCTGCTCCTGGGCGTCACTCCAGGGGACACTGTCATCCTAACACCCATGTGGAATTCAATGGTCTGTTATTTATGGGTTGTACATGTGTCACCCCTGCCACACAGGGAAAATATAACCACATGGAGGGCAAAGATCAGGCTGCATATTTCTTTGTATTTAGCCCTGTGATTGGCACACAGCAAGAGCTCAATAAATTCGTGGTGTCTTGCCGTTGTACTCATCTGTCACCGAGTAATGATTCTGACTCTCTTCTGGCTGCCTCACCCACTCTTCAATAGTTTCTGCCAATTCCCCTTCAACCAACCAAGGATTTATTGAGCATCTGCAACCGGCCAGGCGCTGAGGCTTCAACAATGAGCCTCATCCAGTCCCTGTCCTCCAATTAATGGGAAGCAGACAGGCCACCAGGCTGGGGAACATCGGTGATGGCACATGACAGTCAGAGCAGGACCTGAGGCAGCTTAGCTCCAATGAGGGGCTTAAATCCGTGGAGTCCACACTGTTTATAACGAAGCCAAGTCCTTTCTGGCTTTATGGGATTCACATCTCAGTCACAGGGGAAAGGAGACACAATGGCTCCTCAGCCCTTGGCTGTTTCTTGACACCAGGTACAGAGTGGAGGACCAAGCAGATATAATGGCAGGAGGGACATTTAAGCCTGCTCCTTGCTCACCCTAAGTGCCAGCACTCGGAGTGATCAGGGATGTGGGAGGTAAGTCACGAGAAGAGCTCACCAGAGTGGCAGCCCTACCATGGAGCAATGCCAGCCAACTTGGGTTCAAACACTGACCCACCCATGCAGCAGTCAAGGAAGCCCTCACCAAGTCACAGGCTGATCCCTATCGCATGATTCTTCTTGATGAAACTGCCTACAGTGGTGTGTGGGTGTGTGTGTGTGTGCGTGTGTGTGTGAATATACACAGTGTTTTATTTGCACAGTGCCTGGAACATAGAAGGCATTCAATAGATGATAGCTGCTGTTATCATTATCACATCCCAAGTTTTTTCTTTGGAACTCAACTTCTTGGATGTATCCCAAGGAAAGAGGACCATGGCCATGTGAGTGTGAGGAAGATCTCTTGGGATGGCCCCGTCCTAGGACAGCACAATGCAGGAGCTTCTGAGGATTCCATAGTAAAGGAAGCCACTACTGTTGAACCTGAGGTCTCGATACATGGCATAGGACCCTCTTGTCCCTTGGCTTGATTCGAAGTCATGGCCCCCAGGAAGTGCTGCTGGAACTTCCCAGGCAGTCTAGACTGCAGACTTCCAAATGCTCTATCGTTCCTCTAGCAGCCACACACTTCCAGGGAAGCTCGGAGTTGCTCACACCAGGTGGCATGGGGTGTTGGGGAAGACACTGGGGCCTGTGTTCTTAGGGTGTGTAGCTGAGGCTGTGTCCAGCCCTACCCCGCCCCATGCTGACCCACATCAGGCCCTGTCCCTCTGCCATCACGTACCAGATGCATATCTCAATGCTTGGTCAAAAATCCAGGTCCCTGAATACCGGCTTCGCACAGATCCACCGTGGGGGCTGCCTTCAGGCGCTTTTCCATCTGAATCACGTGAGAAATCAGAAAGAGCCCTTAACATTGGAGAATGCCTGGGAGTTGGGGGAGAGGCAAGGGTAGCCGGGGGCTGACTAGGCTGACCCAGTCACCTGCACAGTCAGGGCCTCAGTCTCCCCAGTTGCATGCTAGAGGGGTGGGCAAGACCACACTGCATAGCTTCTCACTCAACAACTTGTGCTGGCCAGGGGGCACCCACTGTTCCCCAGAGAGGCCAGGGAGGGCAGAAAGCTGAGATAGGCCATATTTTATGTTTTCTCTGTAACCTGCTTCATAACATGGTTATACCGTAAAAGTTCTCTCCAGAAACCTTTCAATAAAATGATCCCTAAAAAGACGTGCACCATATGTGCTGTGTTCTGTGTCCCCTTGGCCCATGGTGACCACTGGTACATGTGAACACCAGAGGACTTTCTGGATCCTCTCAGCTCAGACAGGCCCCTGCCCCAGTGCAGAGCCCCCGGTCCTGCACACTTCCTCGTCTGATGTCTTGTTCTTCTTATATGAACCTCAGCAATCAGTATCACCACCTGCCTGCTAAATGCCAGGTGTGCCAGGTGCTGAAGTCCTTGTCTCCTGCAACGTTTCTGGGCAGATACGGCCTCTGATCCCATGGCACAGATGAGGAAGCAGAGGCCAGGCAGGTGCATGCAGCAACTAGCCCAGTGTCCATAGGCAGTGGGTGGGTGTGGAGCCCCAGCTCCAGGGCCTCTCACATCAGCGCAGCCCACTGTTCCAACCGCAGCAGGTCACAGCTCTTATTATCACCATTTGCCACATGTGTGAAATAAGGACTGAAGGGGCCGCACTTCGACCACAGTTGCCCAGATCTGCCCTGTTGCAGAGCCCACGTGTGCAAGCACCATCAGCCTTGCCTGGGCAGCAAAGACAGTGCTTGTGAGAAGTTAGCACTGACGGGGCACACCCAGGCCTTGCTTCCTGGCTCCAGCTTTCCAGAAGTCCTCCTAAGGTTGGGGCAACCCAACCTTCATTTCATGAGACAACGACATACAGTTCTAGAGGCATCAGGGCTGGGGCTGGTTAGCTAGTACCTCAATACCAGCCACCTCACTGGAGGGCAGAAGACTCCCAAGAGTCCCCTACCGAGCACCCTGAGCACAGCTGGTAGGGATGGCTGGCAGGGCTCGCCAGCATCCCAAAGCCCAGCCTTCCCCCTCCAGTCCCCACTGTCTCTTGTGCTGCAAGAATCCACAAGACAAATTCTTGTTAATAGCTCCCACCTGCATGTCATAGCTCTTGGCAAAGGCCTTGGCTCAGCTCCTTCCCAGGGAGCAGATTGGGGAGGCCATCATGGGGAGGGCTGGCGGGAGGGTGGGTGCAACTGTGTTCAGGACAGGGAACGTGAAGGTCACCTCCTCAATTCCTATCACGTATACCCAGCGAGCTCCAGGGAAGCCTGGATATCTTTCAGGATACACAAAATGCAAGACGACAGAACTGCAGAGCAGGTGAACGAGAGAAGATCACATCTCAAATGCTCAAGGGTGTCCAGTACTCCTGGTTCCAAGACATGACATGAACTGGGCCAGAGTGTGCCAAGGATGGTGGACTTGGAGAGGGAAGTTGTGGACAAGGGGGTTGCCTGTGGCTCTCTGGGGCTTGGCCTTAGGTCCAATGCCTTGTGGAGCAGGGTCACCAAGGCGGGACAGATCCATTTTAAGAGAATCAATCCCCCAGCCATCAACTTCCAAACATGTTCTTTCCCAGGGTCTTACTCACTGCTTTTCTCTTCTACTTCTTCCTTCACCCATCTCCTACCTTATTCTTTTACCTGCTCTCATCCTACCGCCTTGTCTTCCCCACTGAGAGGAAAACCTGGGGACTCCAAAGCACCAGGGCCAGGTTCAAAAAACAATCATCGCATGACTGAGGACAGTCCCTGTTATGAACCCAAGAACTTCTAATTCTCAGCTTTCCACCAAGATAAAGAAGGATCTAATGGAGTTGTTAGTGGAGAAACCATTAAAAATACTGTCTGATGATAGACCCGGCGTGATTTTTGGCAAACATCTTGGCAGGAATTCAAAGAACAGAGTGACACGGCTGACACAAACCCCATCATCGCCAGCTCCTTATTATGAGCTCAAGCATCCTAACTGCTTACTTCCATGAACACAGAAAACTAGGAATAAAATGAAGGCTGAGTCTTGTCTCATTTTAGCAGTAAGATACATTAATTCACAGACACATGAGGCAATTGAGAGAGAAATAAAGCCATATTCATTTCATTAAGAAGTACGTTTTCAACAATTCTTTTACTTTTACATTTACTATTCATCTGAATTTATTTCTGAAAAATTGCATGCTAATAACTCAATCTGGAAAAGTAAGAAAAGGGGTTTTAAAATGCAGAGCTTTATGATCCCAGGAATTCTGCCCCCCTCCCCCGAATTTTCTATTTCAATTTATGTACCTCTTGTTGTGGTGGATGAGTGTGAAACAGTGATCAATAAAAGACTTTCAAGCATAAAAAATATATTACATTAGGATAAAACCCTGTGGGGGAAGTGGAGTGGAAATATGAGCTCAAGGAGAAAAAGGAAAGATATAAAATTTCTGACTGCTAAAGATGAGCTTTCATATGTTTTTTAAGTGACAATGGCTGATATCAAATAGCAGTGGTGTTTGGATTCCCTTGGATACATTTAGAAATAGTGGTTCACAGCTTTATTTCCAAAGTGTCACCTTTTTTAAGAAAACACAATATTCCAGAAATCACATCCTTTGCAATTACTTGTACTTTGGATAAAATGTTAGATGTCAGCTCAAAAATGTGAAAGAGAATATACTGTTTCTCAAATTTCTTTTAGGAGGCATTGAACAAAAAATGTAGGACACATTAGATTTTTAGGTTCCTACCATACCCAAGGTTACCCCAGAGATATCTATGTCCTGAGCTGGTTTGTTATGGATTCTACCCTTAAAAACTCTCCTATACCTATTATCTTCCCCCAACAATCCTTCTGGGAAAGACAGACTTTATTATACTCATGACTATTTAAGACACTGCAGCTCAGCGAGTTTAGGGGCCCATCTAGGCCTCACAGGGGGGACCCCAGGTCTCTTGAAGGTACAGCTCAGGAGCCTGTCCCACCAGGGCTCTTCCAACAGGATTCCCTTTCCCCTTCGGACCACCAGATGGAGAATGCACAGCAAAGACAAGTGGGCCTGGGAGCACGGCCAGCATGCCTCCTTTCCGTGTGGCAGCAGCAAAGAGACGAGTGTTGGTTCTGGCAGGCTTAGGCGCAAAGCTCTGCCAACAACCTATCGAAACAGGAAACTAACTATCAGCTGGCACTAGCAAGCAGGACCTGGCACCTTCACTGCCTGGGTTTGTCACAGGCCCAAATCCACATATCTGTGTCTGAGTGGCTGTCAAGCTCTTCTGTTGCTCTTTCCAGACCCACGGCACAGCCTCCACCTCCTGGCTGGAGCCCTTTCCTTCTCCTCTCCTTGCCCCTCCCTGGGCCACCCTGCATGTGTGAAAACACCTCCTTTCCTGGGTGCACAAGGCTCCCTGCCAGCATCACCGTGCATAATCCAGTCTCCATCTGATCCTCAACTCCATATCCAACGACCCTGCCAGCTCACTCAGGTACAAGAAGGGGAACCCACTCCGCAGACCTGTATTCAATTTCCAAACAGTATCCCCACCATTGAGTCCTCCCTTGAACTGAAATCACCTCCTGGTGACCTCTCCATATTGGATGGGGCTACCAATATGGGGAATGTGTCTGTTCCATCGTCTTCCATCGTCCCCCAAAATGCTGGAAGTTGTGAATATTTAGATTCCATCATCCTCCGCCTCACCACCCCACTGTCCCAGCCTCCTCTTCCCCACAATGTACAGTCTTTAACTCTTCTACAGAGCTCTTCCAGACACTGAGGTAATCCTCTGGCAATAGCCTGGGTGTCCACATCTCTCTTGAGAAAAGGAGCCCAGTGGAGGCTACCTCCATGGCCTCTGAACCACCACCGGGAAACCTGGTACCATTCAGGTATCCACACAGCTGAGGCCCTCTCAGGACTCCTCATCTGGACCCTCCTTGGGATTAAGGATCACTGGTCCCATAGCACAGAGAACAGCAGCCACTGCTTGATGGTACATTCTGACTATCATGATGGGTTCCAGGTATCCTTGTCTCTTGGAATCAGGAAATGACCCATGAGCTGGGTGTCCTGACTGCTGTAAGCTCAGCTTGCCTTGTTACCACCTAAGGCAGGGGTCCCCAACCCCTGGGTCACAGACCAACACCAGGCTATCAGAAACCAGGCTGCACAGGAGATAAGCAGTGGGCTAAGGGACACAGTCTCATCTGTATTTTCAAGCACTCCCATTGCTCCTATTACTGCCTGAGCTCCATCTCCTGTCAGATTAGCTGCGGCAATAGATACCCCTGGGAGCAGGAACCTTACTGTGAACTGCGCATGTGAGGAATCTAGGTTACAAGCTCCTTATGAGAATCTAATGTAATAATAATAGAAACAAAGTGCACAATAAATGTAATGTGCTTGAATCATCCTGAAACCATCTTCCTTTTAACCCATCCATAGGAAAACTGTCTTCTAAGAAATCAGTTCCTGGTGCCAAAAAGGTTGGGAACTGCGGATACAGGCTAAGAATGGCACACAGCTTTCGACTAAGTAACAGTGTGCATGGCCAGGGAGCAATGCCTGCCACGCACATGGGACTGGGCAGCGGTGATGGCCATGCACAGGGCTGCTGTGCAGAAGTATGGCTGCAGCTTCTGTTACCTTATTTCTATTCACTTCTGGTTTTATTCAACAAGAATGTCAAGTTCAGTATTATCTCTGCTCCTGCCAAGAAAAGAAGCTTCAGGTTCTCATTCCCAATCCCACACCAGTTCCAACAGCAGTGGTTCTAAGAATGAGGGATGCCCTTCTCAGCACAAGGGCTTTTCTGGGCAGCAGGGTAGTTGCAGCAACTGCTGCAAACTTGGTACCCAACCTCCTGGACACCGAGGCTCTCCTGACTCTCTCAGCCGAAGGAGCTGCCACATGCCGTCTGCCTATCCATGATCTGGACTGCTCCACGGGAAGGAAGTACCTTGGATAATGTCTGTATCACTGGGAACATTGTCTGTCTGATGGCTATTAAAGGGTAGCTGGGACTTGGGGAGGCTCCCCATGCCACAGCACTGGGTGACTGAATAGGGACACTATTCTATCAAAACAGAGCCTGTCTCTGAGCCCAGAGCACAGCTGGGTGAGCAGAGCAGAGCACACACACCCCCCTCAGGAACATGCTCGTGCCTGTGTCCAGCTACCAGGACACATAGCACACACGGCGCCAAAAGTGCACTTAAAGGCTTGGCTCTAGCCAGCTTCCCACCACACACAGGACTGCAAGACACTTCCTCTCCCTGCTTTACTTTCAGAAGGGCGCACAAGGAAGGTACTGGGAAGTGAGTATGTCCTTCACAAGGAAGGAAATGTCACCAACTTCTATGTGACTCTGAGAAACTTCCTTTCCACAGGCTTTTTTAGCCTCTACAAAATCGGGGGGGGGGGTCAGGGGTACCAATGGATACCATGTGTAGTCAAATGTTAATTCCACACCCAGGGCAGACACTCTTCAAAGTCTTCACCACAGAACTCCCAACAGATACTGCTTGGACTTGGCTCACAAGATGAAAACTACCTGCCAACTGGATATAAGACGGAGTCAAAGGGTCCATCCTCAGGTTGGTGTTTTTAAATGCCTTTCTGTTGTGGTGATGAGGCCAAGCCAGCTTTCTCTGAGCCTGATCCTCAGCAGAAGCAACTCCCTCCAGCAAGAAGGCCTGCCTTGGGATCTGAGCTGAGTCACTAAGGCCAGCAGGCAGCGAGCACGCTGGCCCTGCTTTGGTACAGACTCCATGCTGGCAGCTCCACTGCAACTCATCACTGGGGCACCTTCAACCTTTCCCACAAAGCTTCCTGGAGAGCAAGTAACTCAGACATTCCACAAACTATTCAAAGCCCCTGAATAGTAGGGACGCAGCACTAGAAGGAACACCTGGGTCTTACCCGGTGCAGACTTTCTTCCCCAATCCATTTTTTTCTCCACATCACAATGGCGTATTTCTTAGACTTGTGAAAAAAAGCAGAAATGATTACTACTCCTGCCCTTGAAGAAGCACTTCATGCCATGAATACTAGTACTATTGCTAATAATAGCTCATCTGTCGTTCCCTAGGCCCCACATCGAGCTCTCTGCATACATTACCTTACTGCATCCTCACATAACCCCATAAATTTGTGAGCGGGGCACTGAAGCACAGAGAGCGCAAGCAGCTTGCCCAAGGTACCACACCCCTGAAGTCAGAGAGCATGGATTCACTCCCAGTTCGAGGAGCTGAGCTCATTCTCCTCATATAACACTGCTCCCTTCCGGCGTCACTCCAGGGTCCCACACCTGCGAGGTGACCAGGACAGGGGCTATGCTTCAGTCAAAAGAGAAGGATGTTAAGGCACAGTGAGGTCAAGCACCCCACTACTGAGCAAGGAAACCAGCATCAGGGCTTTCACTCTGCAGGCAGCTGGCCCTGGGGAAGCTCCCGACATTCTCTGGCCTGGGACCCATCTCAAAACTCAGATTCTGCAGCCCTTCACTAGGTATTTCCTGGTGAGGACATAAAATAGTTACTGGGTCTAATGAGTCTCAATACCCACACCCCTTTGAGAGCAAGGGCATGTCTTCTTCTCAATGAATGAACAAATCCACCAGGGGTGACAAAGTCAGAAGTCAGTCCTACGGTTTACAAACAGGAGGCAGATAGGATCAGTAGTTTGTTTGTGTCAAGGCCTCCTTGCGGCCAACACAAAGAGCAGGTAATACTGAGGAAGGAGACACAGAAGCATAACTTAGTAGGATGCAGCCACTACCTAGGAGGGACAGATAATTGCCACAACCCACAGAGGAACAGCTGGAAGGGAACATGAGGCCATGTAGCTGGGGAAGAAAAGGCCACAGGATTTGTGAAAACAGATACCAGGAACCTCCCCTGGTTCCTGCGTTCCTTGATATGCACCAGGAAGATGGGCATGTGGAAGTCACAAAGAGATGAGCCAGTCCCAGACGAGGAGGGGCAGGACAAAGGAGAGCAGCACTCTGAAGAATACACTGAGCATGGGAATTATGGAGGAGGGAGCAGATAGAACGGGAGTCTGGGACCAGATCAGGAAGGGCCTCAGTGACAGGCTGAGGACTAAGGAGTTCAATTCAGAGTGGAGGTTGCAAGCTTGGCCCTTGGAATGAATGAATCACAACATGTTTCATTTGGTTGATTTTAAAAGCTGAATCTGTTGCCAATGTTGAACGCTAAAAAGCATGTACACCATAATTTTCATCTCTGGTAAGGACGAGTGCAGGGATCTGGCAATGCCAAGCCCAGATCCCCCCAAGCACTGTCTTCTGCACATGGGGTATAGGTGCTTAAACTGGACACATGGTCCGCATCACCTGCCCTTTATACTTATGCTAGAAAAGCACGTTTGCTGGGCCTTGCGGGCCTGAGAGGCTGTGCACCCAACTATAGTGCTGGAGAGCAGAAGGAGGAGAAATCATTACTAAGTAGCTAGCTTCCCCAGGGCTCCTCTAAGTAAGGGAAGGACCTCAATTGCCATTGATCTGATGCTGACCAGGTGTCTGCTCTGAGCAGGACCTGCCAGGAGCTGCCCACAGAAGCTTCCAATCAAGCCACGAGAGAAGGACAGGAGAGCGACATTTGGGATACTGAGTGCCAAGAGCTGTGCTGTCCACACCAAAGGCACAGGAACCTCAAGGCATGAGGGATTCATTGAGCCTTCAGGAGGTTCCAAGTGTGTGACTTCAGCAAGGACTTGATGGACTGGCACAGTTTTGCCCCATCAGGCAGAAAGAGAAGAACTCTCCAGACTGGGATTGGCTGAGCAAAACCAAGTCCTGGGAAGCTAAAGGGGAGCCACTAAAGCTCTCTCAGTCAGGCAGGGGCAGAGATGCTAGCCTTTCTCCCCAGGACTTGCTCCTGGCCCTGAGCCTCACAGATGGGCACTCACCAAGGGTCTGCTGGTTGCGGACGCCGCCAATCACCACGCAGATCTCGGCAGGCACATCACCAGTCCCGTCCTTACTGATGGCCTTCTTCTCCTCCTTGGCCTCACCCTGCCAGATCACTTCCTGGATGTAGTCATCAGGCAGCTCGGTCTTCACCTTCACCTCCGTCATCGTTCCCTGCTCGGCACTCAGTGAGGCCTCGGCAGGCACCGGCTCTGGACCCTCCACCTTGGCGCTCTTCTGGCTGCGCTTTAAGCGTTCTCTGGGAGAGAAGAGAGTCTGCTCAGACTGCACCCCATACCTGCCCCAGGGCCACATGAGAGGCTCCCAGCCCAAGGCACTACAGAAACACTCCAGGCTGGGAATAAAGTGGACAGTAGGGCCCCAGCCCACTTTAACTTCCCATAGCCCCCATGGTTACCCAAGGCTCCTCCAGGGAACCCTGGGGCTCCGGGAAGCAGTTTGAAAATCACTGAGCTAGAAGAGCTCCAACTGCACCCTTTCACAGATGGAGAAGATAGGTCTAAAGAGGTCCAGATGTGCCCAGCTGCCTCCTGTTTATACTTCTCGCAACTAGAATCACAAGAGATCCTTTAAAAGGGCACCTCTGGCTGGTTGAAACGTTCTCCAATTTTGGTGTGCAAAGGAATCGGCTAGGAACCTGGGCAAATGCAGGTTCTGGTTCAGCAGGGCTGGGCTGGAGTCTGAGATTCTGCACTTCTAATAAGCTCCTAGGTCAGGCTGGTGCTGGGATCTCAAAGTGTACTCTGCTCTGAACAGCAAGGATTTGAATGAACCAATGTACACCCACCATGCTGGTCCCTGTTCCTTGGCAAGACGGCTAGAGAGCACATCTCAGCTCTTCCCTGTTCCTGTGTTACAGATGGGGAAACCACGGTCCCCAAAAGGCTCCCATCGTTGAGATGCCATGGGGCCAAACTTGGGTGTGGGAGGTGGCTCCTTCAACATCAGAAAACATCCTCAAGGGACTGAGATTGGTACTGAGCAGGGCAGGATGTGCATTACTGAGCCTTTGCTACACAACAGTGAGGCCTACAGCAGGAATGTAACCCACTCAGACCATCCACATGAGCATTGAAAGGAAAAAGCATGAAGCCAGGCTGGCAACCATTCCTGAGCCATCACCCACTAGGTGTGATTGTGTTACCACAAACTTCGGCAGGAAAACTGTCACATGACTCCTCTTTTTGAGGAGAGGAAAGTGAGGCACACACACGCTGGAAGTCAAGTCATATGCCTGGCCTGGGGACGCATTCAGATTGGATTTCAAGGCTGAGACTCTATATACACTCAGGCAAGGGCCACCAGCAAGCCAACTAACTGGAGAACCACTGAGGCGCCAGAACAGGGAGGCAGGGCCTGGGCTCTGATTCTCATCTGCATGTGGTTCTAGGCAAGACCCTTCCCCTCTCTGGGATTTAGCAGCTCCAACTATCACAGAAATACCAGTGATCCCATGTCTGCTGTCCCTCCCAACTGTAGCAGTCTCCCAGGGTGGAGAAAGGTTGCAAAAATGAGCAAAAGGAGCCCATCTAATGAGAAGGTGGCAATGGAAGGCCACTAGGGAGGGTGCTCTGAATCACACTGTCCCCCTTAAACTCATATGTTGATGTCCTGCCCCCCCATGACTATATCTGGAGTCGGGGTCATTAGGAGATCCTTAAAGTTAAATGAGGATGGGCCCTTGTGACAGGATTAGTGGTTTTATAAGGGAAAGGAGAGACTGCTTTCTCTTCTAAGAAAGGACATGGTGAGAAGGTAGCCACCTGCAAGAAAGACCACCATCCAGGCAGCACCCTGATCTTCGACCTCTGGTCTCCACACTGGGAAAAAGACATTTCTGCTGTTTTCATAAGGCACCCAGTCTCAGTGTTCTGCTACAGCAGCCCAAGTGGACTAAGGAGGAGGCAGCGACAAGGCAGGCTGGGGAGACAATCCCGGGCATGTGCAGCCTACACCAGCCACCTCACTGCTCAGCCTCAGTTTCCCCTTCCGCAAAGTGGAGCAAAAGGGGTTGTCATTTGGGTTTCAATCAACAAACACACAGAAGGCACTCAGCAGAGTGTGTGGCCTATAACCATTCTCTTAACTATCAACAACACCCCACAGGACTGTCTTCAGCACCCTGTGTCTCAGGGACACCTCTCCTCAGTGTGTTTGCCACATCAGGGCCACCAGACACCACCTGAGCCTTGGCCCTTCTCTACTGGATGATTCAACTGATCAAGCTTCCTATGTGCCAGGCACTGCTCCAACACAGAAACTCCTTTCACTCTCAGCCACAACTCTGGCCATTGAATCCTGGCTTATTTCCATTTACAGTCCAGGAAACTGAGGCACTAGGAGATGGAACAAATGTTCAAACACACACACACATGGTGAGAAGTGAAACCAGGCCTGACACAGGTGTCCTGGTGCCCAGCCACAATGCACCCGAACTGAGAGGACCCTGCAAAAGGAAATCCACCCCCCAGCATCCCTGGCAGCCCCCTTGTCACCCACTCCTGACATTCCACACCTGAAGCAGTCAAACCAAAGTGCTGGGGTAGGGTGGAAGGGCCCACAAGGACAGGTGGTTCCCTGGCTTTCTGGGTGGCTGCAGGGGGACATCTGATCCATAACCCTTGGGGAGAGGAACACAGATGCCACCTGGCTGCAGGATTGGCACACGGCAAGGAGGCTTCGAAGTGCTAAGAAGTCACAGGCAGAGAGGTGTGCTCTGGAGAGGATGGAGATCCAGCCTGCTAGGAGAAAGGAAGCCCAGATGGGACAGCCCTGGTCAATGGAGACACTGGGCAGAGGCTGGCAGTGGCCTGGTGGGAGTGAGGGGTCATGAAGTGAGACAGAAAAAGTCCTCAGCTTGAAGAAGGATCCTCCCAGAGGCAAATCTTGGAACTACTGTTCTCGGACTGGGGTCCTGCATAAGTGACTTTGCCCCGCCAAGCCTTGGTCTTCACATCCACACAAGGGATAAACGTGATACCTATGTCACAGTGCTGTGACGTCTAGAAGGACCCCTGGCAGTGGCACCGTGGAGAACCTCCATCGGTATCTCTTTTCTGTGGGAGCAGGGGAGAGGAGAGCCACAGTCTGAGTATATCTGCCAAGCCCACCCCAGTGTGGTGACATGAGAGGTGATTACAGCACAAGGGCGTGGCCATCAAAGGATGAACGCTGGTCTCACAAGAGCGGACTGTTTCAAAGTGAGCCTGACGCCTGAACTGTTCTGGCTTCCCATCTTGCCATAATGATCTCTCCCTCCTGCCACGGGGCCACCATCTGCCATGAGGGCTGACCACAGCCAGCCCAGGCTGGTGCCATGCCTTAAACCTGAAGAACTGTGAGCTAAATAAGACCCTTTCCTTTATAAAGTACCCACACTTACACATTTTGTTACAGCAACAGAAAATGGACTAACACAAGAGATTGAGCAGGGCATGCGAGGGAAGGAGCTTACACAGCACAGACCTGAGTGTGCGGCCTGTGGATGAGATTGACGGAGGTTCAAATGCCAGCTCTACCACTGCTGAGAGGGAGAACAGCCTGGGAAGGAGCAAGAACCTTGTTTATAGCTGCTCATGGAGCAGAGATGATCACACTGATGGCAGCGGTGGCAAATCCCATTTATCAACATGAAAGACACAGAGTTGTATTCACTGGCTGAGTCCATGTGGTGCTAATGACCAGCTAGTCCTGCCTGCCCTGAGGATCGCTGGGCAAAAAGACAGGTCAGGCAGGGATAGAAAGGCTTCCCATCCAGAACACGACTGTCCCTGCTTTTCTCACTGCTGATGCTCTGAAACAGACCGATGTCCTTTCCTGCCCCACAGCACCATAACACCCGCTCGGCAGGTGGGCAACGTGAAGTCAGACAGCTGGGGGTAACCCACAAATGCACTCGATACGCTGAGACCTGGGCAGGCGACCCCTCTCTGAGGCTGTTTCTTCATCTGTTACAGCTGGCAAGGATGATGCCCGCAAGGAGCCCAGCCAGGGGGTGGGTGACAGAGAGTGATTTCTACAGATGGCAGCTGCCATTATAAGACAAGGGTTCGTGATGTCCTCCTGTCCTCTGGGAAGCCTTCCAGCTTGCTGGAGTCAGAGTCTGATGCCCTCCCTGAATGTCACATCACCTTGTGAAAGTGGCTCTCCTAGCCATCTTTGCACAGTGTGCTAATGATTCACGTCAGTGTACCCAACCCCTTGCTGACCACCCACATGTAGCTTCTACCTCCTCACCTCGTTTTTTTCCTTTGTGGCCCTGGCTGTCATTTGAAAATAGCCTATTTGTGACTCACCAGATCATATAAACCCTGAGGGTGGGTGGGGAAGTCTTGCGCACCACAGTCCTGGCATTCAGGGGGCACAGAGCAGGTGCTCCAGATATGCTGTACATGCCTAATGATCAGAATACCTGTCTCCTGGAAAGTGGGAAATGGGACTCAAGCCTTTTGGGATTCTTGAGGGCCCAATGGGACAGAAATACTTTACAGAATGGACAGTCACACACATGCCACAGACCTGGGAACAACTGCATCACGGAACAGCCCTCTCCTCTTAAGACACAGGGATGCAGCGAAGCTGGGACTTGAGCAAAATCGTCCTTCATCCTTTCACTGAACTACAGGCCTCAGGTCACCAGGGGTGGGGGAGAGGCACAGGGAAATGACCTCCTCCCATGGGAAGGCAGACGCCTCCCAGTTATTCTGCTTACACACTGCACCCCAAGCAATCAGAGCCCACACTGTGTAATGCAGCTGCAACTCTGTGACCTGTGAGGCTCCTGGCTTAGCCCGTGGGAGCCACCCCTCGCACCCACAGGCACGAGAACACACAGCCGCCAGGCGGCCCTTTAACCATGATGCACCGAGGCTTCACGGCACCAAGGACACAGACAACTTCCCTCCCTTCCCCTGACTTTGGCGCTTTAGATTTACAAGCTCAACACTGCTTTTCTTGGATGCTTTGCATTTAATTAGGTGTCCTAATAACAATGGAATTGTAGAAGTACTTATATCACTTTGAATTAGTGGTGCAGCTCTTTCAAACTTCTTTAAAAATTTTTTTCATATATCATTTTTTTAAATAGAGCTCATTATTTTAATTATATCCATTTAAATGTACAGTGGAGTCCTTGGATATTCTCAGCACGAATCATTAGGTATATTAGTGAAAAAGCACTCGGAATCTATCTACATGCTGACACTCCATAATCTATTCTATTTGTGTCGCTGTAAAATA